TTTCTCTCTCTCTCTCTCTCTCTCTCTCACTCTCTCTCTTACTCTAGCGCGGACGCAGATCTGTTCTCACTTTCATTTCTTTATCGGCTCTGCTTGTTCCGTCTTCCTTCGTTTTCCCTCTTCCCGCCCCGCCACTCTTCTTACTCGCGTTCTGTTTTCTCTGCCTGTCACGGCTTCTATTTGCACTCGGCGAGGCATTTTCGTCAGCGTTTGGGTTCGTGGTGGGGGAGGAGATATGGCGACGGTAGTGGCGATAGAGAAGCTGGAGGATGAGGTGGAGGATGAGGTGGAGGATGAGGATGAGGTTGAGGTTGAGGTTGAGGTTGAGGTTGAGGTTGAGGTTGAGGTTGTGGTTGAGGTTGTGGAGAAAGAGGAGGGAAAAAAGAATTTACAGAGTCGCGAACGGAAGTTGTGCAACGAATCCGCGAGAAATTTATTTTTAACGAGTCGTTGCTTTCCTACACGTTTTGCATATCGTTTCACATCTTTTACTTCTACTTTCGTATCGTAATGTTCGTTTCTTCCGGTGCCTTTCGCTATTCTCGATTTATTCCCACCTGATTTTACTCCGCTCTCGATAAATCTCTTTGATCTCGTGCTAAATCGTGAATGTTGTGCCTTTTGGGACGTTGCTAGTGCGTCACAATGGAACGGGGATTCGAGATTCTCCGCGAGAATAATGTCGAATGCCTAGGTAGAAAATACATTTGCAGTCGAAGTTTATTAAAGTACATCACAATTTTATTGTCTATTATATTTATTTTCTGTTCGTTTTAGCAAATTAAAGCGACAATTACGTGTACGTTGAATGTGAAAATGCAATTACTTTTACCAGTGAGTAATAGCGAAGAAAAGGCCGTAGTTGGTTTCAATTAATTTCCAATTAACGATAAACCATCGTACGAGTCCTCGTGGGGGGGGGGGGGGGAAAATTTACCCCCCAAAAATCCAAAAGTTGAAAAATTTCACCCCACAAAATGCAAAAGTTGAAAATACCACGGTAAACTTAATTTCTCGCCTCGTTAATTAACGGCTCGTCGAGCAGCCGGTAAAACATTGTGTACACACGTCGTTTTCACGTAGGAAATAAATCGTTGAAACGAATTTGTCGGCGTGTGAGCACGTGCGAGCATGCGCTCGACGAGCAATAGAGGACGGCGACGCGATCGAAAAACGAGGAGCGAGGAAGTTTCCTTATCCCCGACACACACGCGGACCTTAATACCCTGTGCGCTATCGAATGGGGAATAATGCCTGCTACGGGGTGCACGCATCCATCCCCCGGACTCTTCTCTTATACCTGAAGGTTGGCTGAGGAAAAGGCCGTGGTGTTGCGGGGCGGGAGGGGTGGAGCGGCGGTATAAAAGCTTGGTTATGGGTTGGGTTGGGGCGAGGAGGGACACTTTGTCCTCCAATGAAACACGAGGAGCCTGAAATTTTCTATATACGATGGGAAGCCTCCCTTCGTCCTTACGTCCCGGAAAAGCTTATTTTTTGCCTCGATTTTAGGCACCCTCTCGGACATTGACGCACTCGAGAAGAAGGATGTCCGGAATCAGCAAAAGGACGTATCTTCGTGAGGTGAATCCCCATCTCATTTGTCCGCTGTGCAGGGGCTATTTGATCGACGCGACCACCGTCGTCGAATGTTTGCACTCCTGTGAGTAAATGAAAATATATTCGGGCAGTTAATACGTTATAATTTCAAGGGACTTTTAAGTTCGAGTATTAAATTGATAAATTCGCAGTTTGCCGAAGCTGTATATTGAAGCACCTGAGGAAAGACGCCCAATGCCCGTCCTGCAAGCATTTGCTCAACACTGCCAAGCCAAATATCAAGTAAGTCCATATCCCTCTTAAGCGCCTTCGTCATTCCACTTGCGTCCGCATGAATTACACGTTTCTGCCAAATCCGATTAAAAGTTCGCTTTCTCTCTTCACCCCCTTGCCGATCCGCAACTCACATTAACCCTCCCTTCGCCTCGCTGCTCCCACCCCCGTCACCACCTCGCACACCAATTCATCCACCCGCCCTAACTTTGGCACAATGAACACGCTATGCTAGAGCGTATTGTTTAACGTGTATCACAATATTTATCACCGTACCAAGAAAACCACTTGACCGATCGATCGCTCGATTATTTTCACCAAGAGCAGTGTCTTCGGTGCCGTTTAAAAGATTTTTCTCCGGGGGTTCCCGCTAAGCCTCGATTAATGTTTTTCAGAGCGGATAAAGCATTGCAGGACATTGTGTACAAGCTGGTACCGGGCCTCTATCACAAAGAAATGAGAAAGAGAAGAGAATTCTACAACAAACACCCGGAGCACGGTACGTACATTAGCAATGCAATCATTTACCGTAATAGTCTTAATACATAGTCTTAATATCTTGTCGACGCGATCAACTCTCTTGACACCTCGAGCACCCTTGTGTCGCAATGCATTTTGTTACGAGATCTCGTGAACGAGATATGTGCACCGAATCTCTCGAGATCCCGACAAATTACTAATCCAATGATCCAATCATTTTCGTGCTGCTAAAGAACGAAATGATTTTTTCAAAATTCACGTTTCACAATCTGGGCGTTTTGTCATTTTATAAAATGAATAAAGTTTTTAAATAAAACGCACGTAATATATTCAGCAGCGGCGCTTTAAAGACTCGCCGTTACACGTCCGTCGCAAATGTAGATAATCAAAGTATCTATTGTAGGAATTATTTAACTAGACCGAGCTCATAAATGAAATAGATTGTAATCGATTGCAGGATTCGCTGTAAGCCTGAACCATCTTGGCGGTGGTAAGCTAAACAAACGAAAATAGAAACATTTTTTCTTTTTACCAAGGCAGTGAAAAAGTGTCGATTTGTTGAATGAAAAAGTCGAATATCATTTTTATACAACTTTCTTTCACTGTCACCTTTCCTCGTTTTGACTTCACGAGTGCGCTATGCATAAATATACAAGGCCGTTTTGTTTCGATATCACATTTGTCTGCCTCTTCCCTTTTTTTTTTCTTTTTTTTTACTATTACTATTATTATTATTATTATTATTATTATTATTATTATTATTATTATTATTATTATTATTATTTCAATTTGCTGTACACGTATACTTTATACTCAATGAAACTTGCAACAGTTTTTCTTTTGTTATTGTCGGGCAGAGTTACCACATGAATTCTGCTACTATACGAAAACAATCTTGCTAATGCAATTTTTATTATTTTTTGATAATAGAATAATTTGCAAGTTGTGTGCTTAAGTACAATTCTAAGTTTTTCTTTTGAAATGATTATTAAACGCCGGTGTGCTAGGCATACGCACACTTACTCAAATTACACTGTAGATGTTGTACATTAAATTATGTACACGAAGGGCTATTCACTATTAAGTAATTATCGTATTATAATCATCGAGCTTTAGTTGGACCAAATATCTAAAATGGAATATGAATTTTTTAAATTATAATTGCAACAATGCTGATTGATAAATACGCCTCTTATCGATGATGAAATTAAAGAAATTTTAATACAATTTACTACTTCAATTAAATAAATGTAATCGGCTTGGTTAAAAGGAATATTGACGATTGACGTGAAAATATTCAAAACTTTCTTCTAAAATTTATTTTATCTTTCATTAAAAATAACTAAAATTTCTGGAATTTAATATTTTTCCTATTATTCCTTGTCATTCTTATATAAATATATATAAATATATATATATATATATATATATGTATGGAAATTATTACAAATCAATATGTTAGATTATTATAACAAAAAGAATTTATGTAATTTTTTTTAAATCTAATCGTTAATTTGTAGCACTCTTTCATAAATATTTTATTTTAAGAAAAAAATTCTACTTATCTAAGTTTTCTGATATATAAAAGATTTTACGTCAACGCCAATAATTTAGATTCTTTTCTTTTTTTTTAAGACAAATGTCGATATTATGTGTACTGATTTTCCACAAAGCTACTAATATTAAATTAATCTCATAAATTTCGCAAAATTTTATGAAGAAAATATAATTTTTTTAATTATCTGTCAATTCTCTCATTATTATGGGCTTTTAAATATGGAAAAGAATATATCTAGTTTTATACAAATTCAATTTCTCATTGCTTTCAATATTACGGAGCGGAAGAAAATTTACTTTCAACAAACGCTCGAATTATTTAAACGATATATACCATATTTTGATATTCAGTATTTTAATGATACAATCATTGGCGAAGACAAAAAAAGTCGTTAAAAAAAAAAAAAAAAAAAAAAAATCGGGTTTACCTTAACATCTAAATCGAATGGATAATTATTATACTCAAGGGACATTTAAATTAGAGTTGTGTATTATCGTTTCACGTGTATATCGCGTATTTGGTAATGCAATCACGGCCGATGCAGCACATCATTAAAGTGAATATAAAAGTGAATAGCCCCGGGTACGCACACCACTGAAACATGTGATTTTGAACGATGAGCAAATGAGCATTGATATTTTCATTTCCGAACGTACGAAAGAAAAAACAGCCTGGCACTATATCGATCGACGAAAGATCATTAATAATTAATAAACTAATCACAGCTGACTCGGCGACACCAGAGCAGCGCGGCGAGGACGTGAGCGGTAGGCTGATATTTGCTCCGGAGGACGCGATAAGCTTGAGCCTTGAGTATCTGCCCATCGGTGCCGATCCGCTGACTCTGCTCTCGAACAACAACAGTGACGTCGAACTCAGCCAGACCTCGCCTTCGAACAATTCGAAGCAGAAATTTAACGGCGGTGTGGCCAATAGGCGATACCTCCAGTGTCCGGCACTCGTCACCATCGCTCACCTTAAGAAGTTCCTCGGCCTCAAGTACAGCGTCGACATGACCAGATACAATATCGATATTTGCCACAGACGGGCACCACTGCCGGAGCACTGGACTCTCATGGACGTTGCCTACATATTCGCATGGAAGCGGGTGAGTAAGACTCCAGCTTTTTATTTAATCAGGCTAGTCGTTTTCATTATCGGACGGACAATAATATCATTACGGCACAATTACGTCGCGAACCATGTACTTTTCCTGTATGAATGTCTTTAAAATTGCTACTCGACTTAGGGTTAATTCACAACGCAGTCCACAGCGTTTTTCCGTTAATAAGATTATTTTTCAAATGATTAAATAATTATTCATAGTACAGTATACAGTTAATTATTCAGTGATTAATTACTGTAATTAAATCACATCGATCGTATACTATTTATTATACATGTGGATGCTCACCGTTCATGTAAAAATCTTTATTTACCAATTTATTTAGTTAGGGAGTCATCTCATTAAACTGACCAAAGAATCGTTATTTTCTAACAATCTATTGTTAAGTATACAAGAATTAATTTTGGCATATTCAAAGTTTCCTTGATTCGACGTATGATTAACAATACATAACCGAGCGAACGTGAGAGAAGTAAAATTGCAGGCATTACATGCTAAAATTTGTAAAAAATTTTCGAAATCATGGCAGATTATAGCATAAACACTAATGGATCTATAGAAAATATTATTTTTAGATTTACATTATTTATATATATATATATATATATATATATATATATATATATATATATATATATGTTTCCTTTTATAGAATCTGAAAACCCATCTAGGAGCAATAAAAAATCGATAAATAAATATTATTCAACATTTCTTACATAATTTTCATTTTTTATTATAATTGATAACTTTAATGAGAATTATGCTACGACAGTTTTTAACTTTACTAATTGATACTAATTAAAGTAATATAACAGTAAAGATAACTTTTTCTGCCAAATTTTCAATGTGCATTTAAAATACTTTGCAAAGGCTAAAAATGCATTCAATGCAAACAAGAGGAAAGATATAGAAACATGTTGTTTTTAAGCGTTTCTTAATGCGCGATCGCTTTAATTGAAATGAATTAGCAAATGTTAAAGTAACCGATTCGATGTACATGCTGTTAATAAATGAAATATTGGTGATTTTTATTTCAGAATGCCCCCATCAGATTCTTTTATCGTATAACACAAGAAGAGCAGCAATTGGAGGCACCACCAAACGATAGGCCATCCACACCAGGTCTTGGCGCTAGTCAGCCTTTAACGAACGAGCAGGCTTGCGAACCAGCGGATAAAGAGCTGGAATCGAATTCCAAGGATAAAATATCGAAGAAATTAATCGAGCAAAAAGTAGTCAGTAGCCACAACTCGACGCAAATTCAGCCTGACGCGCCATCTCAGAATTCTAGCGAAATGAACAAAATTGATCCAAACAAAGCTCAGGAACTATTATCAAAGCGTTCATTGCCAATCAATATAAAAGATAATAATGTAAATGATATCGCGAAGGACGTGGAGAGCAGTAGTGACATTAAATATAATAAGCAAACGCCGCATTCGGCATTTGGTGTTCTTTCTAAGAGCGACGAAACGATGAAACAGGTAAAGAGTCCCATTAAAATTTTAAAGAATCCCGATGGTCGTTATCAGGTACTACGTGGGCCCAGTGCTCCCACAAAAAATGGCACTACATCGGATGATCGTGAAGCTAATGCTGCATTTGCAAAAGCCTCACCCTCGGAGCTAATAACGACACCGGCAGAGTTCAGCGTTGTAAGTATCGGCGACAGCGCAAACTCTAACGGTGTTAAAATTACGTTAAAACAATGTCAGCCCGGCAGTACTAATAATAACAGCAACACGAACAGTTCCAAGAAGCCCAAGGTTTTAAGCAATGTCTTACTGAAAAACTCGCCGCAGAATGAGAAAACGAACAACCTCGGTGTGGTTGATCAGGCGCAGGATATTCAAAAGCAAGATAAGCAAAAGCGAAAAGTGACATTCATGGATGTCGAATCCAGTCAAATAACTCCATCCAAATCAAAGAAGTTGATCAACGGCTCAACGGATCAGAATGATAAAAAGCAGTTTTTGCACAGCTTTAGATTAACTTCTAAGCAGACAGCTGCCACAATTCAATCAGGTAATCGACAGCAACGTCAGGACTCTTCGAAGCAGGATCAGTTGGTTGCCAACGATGTCGATGCGAATAGCGTTGAGGCCCAAGTAAGAAATATACTCAAGAGTAGTAATCGCCTGTTGTACAATCGTCAATTTCTCAATAATAAGGACGAGACATCTATAACATCAGCGGCAAAGAAACGACAGGCCGAAGGCAAAATGATGCCGAGTAGCACGGTCGAGCACCCGATTGATGTCAAGTCATCGGCCAATAGCGAAAACAACTCATCTTCAACGATCAGCAGTAGTAACGGGCAACAGAAGCAGCAGAACCAGTCCCCGCAGCATCAGCCGCAGCAGCAACCGCAGCTGCAGAAACAACAACTGCAATCCCAACAAATGCAACAACAGCAGAAACAACTGCATCAGCCGCAGTTGTTACCGCAACCGTCGCAGCAGCAGCCAACGTCATCGTTATCACAACAGCAGCAGCCAACACCATCGTTATCACAACAGCAGCCAATCGATGTCTATGCGTTTCCCAATGATCCACCGTCGATGTTGCCAGCAGGGGCTGTTAAAAGAAAATGTCCACCTGGCTTGCCGATTTTTGAATTACGCAAGAAGCAACAACAGTACCAGACGGGTAAAAGATCTGGAGTGAATTCGGGACGAGGCGGCGGGGCCGTGAAATGCTACAGGAATCAGTCGACAAAACCGATGGTTTATTCCAAATCGTCATTAAGTCCAGTTAGAGTGAGTATCATTCGAACGCGACTTAGTCGAAATTCAAGACTTACCATTTATAATTATCAACGACATTTTCAATTTTTATCAATTATAAAATTACTATTAATAATGTGTGTGTGTCTGTGTTTTTTTTTTTTTTTTTTAATTCTTACAGAGCTTGCAAAACTCTACGGGGAACATTGCAAGTAATAATAATACCGTCGCTACTTCGTCGAACGCCTCTGTAAGCTCAACGTCTCCGAAAAATGCGTCTTCGTCATCGCTGATATCCAGTGACACTCGTAATTTGCTCGATGGTTGTGGGCTCAATATACCCGCGAGTTTGAGTATCACTTTAACCGCACCGAAGTCACCGAATCGAAACTGTGATTCCGCCCTCGATCATCGGACCTCAAAGGACGCCTCTCATCATCAGAATAACTTGGACAAGTTGAATCCAACCATTACTCTAAATGACAAATCCGTAGATCCGCGGGTGTTAAAGGCCTTGAAGGCTGGACAAATGCGAATGCCTATAGTGAATCCGAAAGGCAAAGGCAGGCAGCTGAGCACTGAACAACACGGATCACAAGCAAAGAGGAAAAAGGAGGATACGCCTTTGCAACAATCTCGCAACATTTTAGATCTCAGTGCAACTAAGAAGGTGGACCTGCATCCTTTGAGAATTCCCACACCGCTTGGAAAATTCAAAGTTAAATCACCGAATTGGGTAAGTCAAGCGATTTATTATAACATAAGTTTTACAGTTAATTGCATTTAGCGTAAAATACAAATAAGCATAGCCTATTGCGATCGTAAGCAAAATGACGTAAATAAAAATTCAATAAAGTGGTGATCACAAAAGCATTGTAAGTAATTATTCGTTTCAGTCTCAAGCCAACAACGCGCCTAAATTTTCTGGCAAGGATGATCCGGCAAATTACATGGCTAATGGTCAAGTGGTAACTTTGACGGGCGGCCAGAGGTTCTATCGTGCGCCACCAGGTTCCTTAACTCCGGCTGTCCACCGGATTAGCGACATGCCAACACCCACGTCGACCCGCTCCCCCGTATACGCACCCTCGTGCTTCTCCAGTTCCACAGCAACCAATCGCCCAGCTACGAATCTCTCTTCGGTTTTTCCCAGCTTGCAGAGCCTTTATGCACTTAGCCAGGCACCGAGTCTCGAGCAGTTTCACATGGACTCGCGATTGAGGATGGCCGCGGCGGCCGTTGCTGTCAACACCGCTGCCGCCACCACTACCACTACCAACATCAACACTAATCCTAACGCCAATACCAACGCCAATGCCACCGTCAACTCCACCGTCAACTCAAGTACCAACTCCAATTCCAATTGCAATTCCCATGCCAACGCTAACGCCAACGCCAACTCCAATGCCAACTCTAACGCCAACTCCAACGTCAACTCCAAAGCCAGCGTCAACGCCAACGTCAACAACAACGCCAACACCAACGCCAACGCCAACGCCAACGCCAACGCTAACGCCAACGCCAACGCCAACGCCAACGCCAACGCCAATGCCAACGCCAACGCCAACGCCAACACCAGCAATACCAATATCAATACCAACGCCATCACCAACGTTAATACTAATCTCAGCGCTAATGGCAATTCCAATGTCAACGCCAATATCAGTACCAATACCATTCCTAATGGCAATGCCAACGTCAATGTCAACGCCAATGCCAGCATGAACGTGAACATCAACTCCAATACCAACGGCAGCAGCAACAACAATAATAATGATAATAATAACAGTAATAATAATAAAAATAATAAGGATGTCGCCAATAGCTCATCTTCGACGGCAAGTAGTATCGGAAGTCAGATTGGCAAAAGTCACATTGCCGCGCAATGTGCACCAGTAAAGCCGGTAAGGTCCTCCGTCGGCTCGTTCGCTTTGCCGATTGTCAAGCAATCGGTGCCTGGGAGTGCGGTCAAGATGTCTGGCAATAATACCGTTGGTGTAAAAGGGGTGGTCAGTTCCCTGAGTCTCGGTGAAAGCGAGACGTCAACTACCACCGGCAGCGATTCTCTGGCTACTGAACAGAAGCCGAAGAAAAGCGAGAGCCTTAAAGAAGGTATGACTCAGCTACTGATATGTTTTTTGTTTTGTTTTATTTTAATACAATACTTTGATAAATAAACATTCGCCCATTGCAGCTTCCCTCAAAGTTGATTTCGAGCAAAGTGAAAATTGTGCATCGTCTACGGAAGAGGGGAATTCAGAACAGGGCTCGGCTAGTCCGAGGGTCACGTCGACGGCTTCACCCCCGCCACCACCAAGCAACGAGGATACGGTGAATGTTGAAAAACCATCACCCTCGACAAAATTGGAAGAGTGCCAGCCATCGTGTGGCTCCGAAGTGACAAGCAGCAACAAATCACCAGAAAGTCCGGACTCCAGCTCGGTTGTAATGGAAAGCGCGGGGAATCTAGTCGACAGCACAAAATCGATGATGGAGAAGGACGTGGATGCGTCACCGGTAAAGGATTCGGGAATTAAAGCCACGGCCGACGAGCAGTCGAACGATAGCAAGCCAAATGGCAAAATCGACGCGGCAAATTTTAAAAAGCCTATGACATCCGAGGCTTTGCAAAAAAGATTTCTAGCTGCTTTTCCATCCAACGAGTGGGCGAACAATCCCATAGCAGCCGAACAGTTTGGAAATTTTTTAAAGAGTCTCTCCTCGATGCAAGCCGAAGCTCAATCAAAGAACGCTAAGGCAGTTGAGTAGGGTCGAAGAAGACGATAAACATTATACTCTTTATTTAATCGGATAACAATATTTAAAATATTTATGCACAATTAAAGCTACACCCTAGTAATGTTGAGAAAAAGAAAAAAAATTGGGTTTGATATTGGTGTTTTTAGTAATTAATCGAGCCTTTTTAATAAGAATTAAATAATGTGTAGTAAATTAAAAGGGAATGATGAGTTGATGGAAACTAGCTATATGACTGCCAAATTAATATCCACTTTTCCTACTAATGATCGATCCTCTCTTTTAATCGAGGCATTTTTAACGATCAGGAAGATGATGACTGATGTGGGAAATTTTAAATACCATTGTGATAAGGATTTCTGTATTTGAAAATAGCAATTTTTATACTTCACAAAGATAATGCAAATAAGGATATACATAAAATTTAGCCACTGACTAGTTGTGTCGATTATAGAAATTTATATTTTTCGAACACACCGAATATCAATTGATATAGATTTTATTTTTAAATTCAATAATATTACGAATGACATTAATGTACAATGGCATTAAGCACTTCAACAGGGATCTTTTGAAATGTCATTTACAACATTGAAAATCCTGTAGCAGGGAAGAACTTACAATAATCGTAATCCGATACATAAACTTATAAATACATTAAACTGAGCTTTAATGGTATTTGCCATAAAATGTATCCGCATAAATTACAGTATTCTTGTGAAAATTTATAAGCTTACTTACACCGAGTAAACGAAAGCGACAGAGCGATAGTGCATGACAAGTATTTCTTGTGGCATTTTGAATTTCTTTATGCTCAATTGTTCTTTTTGTAAAATACAATTTATAATTTCGTCGTTATTTTTAAGTGCGTATTTGTAAATTTTTGAAATTGTATTATCTCCATTATCATTAATTGTTGGAGAATCAATATTTGTTCCTTTAATTGTAGTCCATGGCAATTTAGTTTTGTTTGCAGTTGTATTTGCCCTTGTTAAAGCTTTAGTTTAACTTAAAAGTTCTGTTAAAAGAGCTTGCTCGTACACAAATAATGGCAATAACCATTGGCTACCATCGATGTGAATCATGGGGAACGTAGGCCTGAGTAGTGTTCATCGATGCCATTGATATAGACTAAAAAGAAAAAAATATATTCAATCGAACAAAAAATTAAAGAGAAAAAAAAAACAAAAAAAAAAAAATCAATAAATAAGAAAAAAAAAAATAAATAAAAAATAAAAAATAAAAAAAAAAAAAATAAAAAATTAATAAAGAGAGAAATCAGAAGGAAAAATAGAGGGGAAAGATAACGAGAAGTAATCAATAAAAATCGTACGTAATCTATTAGCCAGTGTTTTGCGATTCGATAAAAATTTTCTTTGGCATGTCTAACCAACTTTGTGTACGAGATGCAAGTTGATTAGTTCGTACGTGTGTATGTCTACAAAATAAAGTTATTTTAGTTTAAGTTGTACATATTTTAATGGACGAATCATCTATGTAATAAGCATCCCCTAATACTAAAAACGACGTTAAAATGTTCTATTTTATTACAAAAAAATCAACTGCAGTCAGGTCAATCAAGTATACACCAGTTATACAATTTTTTGCTCGTCTTTTTTATAAAAAAGAATAATCGCCCATACCATGTGGAAACGAGTACAATGTACAATACCGAATAAATATATCGTAATCCTATAACGATTTTATTTATAATTTTACATAATTATTGTTGTTATTACTGCCCGTCTCCAATCAAAATATTTACGCAACGTTTCTCCCGCGGCCGCTATTTTAAATCGTCGGGAAATCGCGCGGCTGACGTAGGGACAATGCCCGGGAGCGTAGAGCGGCCAATCGACATCATAACCAAGTAGACCCGAACGTCCCCGACGGCCGGGCCCAAAGCCGAGCTACGCTCGACGCGAGCAAGTGGTCTACGCTTGCGCAGTAGCTGACCCGCGTGTCTCGACCCCCCGCCCCGCCCCCCTCCCCCCCCCCCCTGTTATTACTGCCCGTCTCCAATCAAAATATTTACGCAACGTTTCTCCCGCGGCCGCTATTTTAAATCGTCGGGAAATCGCGCGGCTGACGTAGGGACAATGCCCGGGAGCGTAGAGCGGCCAATCGACATCATAACCAAGTAGACCCGAACGTCCCCGACGGCCGGGCCCAAAGCCGAGCTACGCTCGACGCGAGCAAGTGGTCTACGCTTGCGCAGTAGCTGACCCGCGTGTCTCGACCCCCCGCCCCACCCCTCTCCGCCCCGCCGCTATCGCCCCTCTCGCCCCACTCGCCCCCTCGCCGTTCGTTGCACCACCTCACACCCCCGCAACAGTCGACACTCGACGACAATAGACGAGAAGAGAGACTCGGGCGCTCGACGCTGGAGTCGCTGTGTGCAAAAGGCGATAGGCGACACGCACCGCTTACATATACCGTTTATCTCCTACCACGAGCCGTGTATGTGTATTATTGTCATGTTTAAACTCGCGGCCCTTAGCCGTGCATCGCCCGTAAATCGCCGCCGAGGACGAGGATCGCGAATCCGCCGAGCGAGTCGAAGCGTCACATGCCCCTTGCCAAACTTTTCCGTTGCTCGCCAATGTTTTTACCTGTCCTCGGTTGCGGGGGTGTAGTTGTGATAGTATCGCGGACGTGGTTCGTGTCATATCTCGGCTTTTGACATGTGTTGGGTGGAGCGATTAGGTGGTAGAAGTTGTTGGTAGTAGCAGCAACAGCAACAGCAACAGCAGCAACAGCAACAGCAGCAGCAGCAGCAACAACAGCAGCAGCAACAGCAGCAGCAACAGCAGCAGCAACAGCAGCAGCAACGAGAAATATGGATTGAGAAATGCTAGGCGCGGGGCTTTTCGCATCGCTTAGTCCATAACTATTGGGGAATCGTGGCTTTTGAAAGTGAAAATGCTGAGGTTCCTGTCGAGGCGCCGGGCTCGCAGCGTCAGCGGTCAAACGACCTCCTCGCAGATAAAAAATCAGCGCCTACTCAGCAACAAAAACGTTGTGCAATGCCGTGTCATTTTGCTAGACGGGGCCGATTTGCCCATCGAGTTGTCGGTGAGTGATAATCGTCTCCGTGTTTTCTTTTGTTTACTGTCCATCTAATGTATGATTATTTTTTCATTATTATGTAGAAAAAGGCCTTGGCTAGTGATTTGTACGAACAAGTATTTTATAGTTTAGATCTAATAGAGAAAGATTACTTTGGGCTACAGTATACTGATAGTAATAATGTTCAGCACTGGCTGGATCCGACAAAGCCCATTAAGAAACAAGTAAAAAGTAAGTGCGACACTGTAATTAGTGAGTAATTGTAATTTTGAGCCCATGTTAAAGTGGTAATACGTTATTTTTGGCATTGCCATCGTTTGTAAATTAAGATTGTTATGTTTGCGTACAGTTGGACCACCTTATACATTAAGATTAAAAGTAAAATTTTACTCGTCCGAGCCAAATACATTGAGGGAAGAACTGACGAGATATCAGTTTTTCTTGCAACTCAAGCAAGACGTTCTAGAGGGAAAACTTCATTGTCCCCATCAAACTACCGTACAACTTGCCGCATTGACTCTGCAATGTACGACATATACAGTATTTGATTTTGTCCAAAGTTTTATCCAGACGTTGGCCAATCGATCTTACATTTAACCTTTATCTTATGTTTTAACGCAGCCGAGCTCGGGGATTACGATCCGACGGTACACACTGCAGCCACCGTATCGGAGTTCCATTTTGTACCGAGCCAAACCGAACAGCTGGAGTTGGAGATTCTGGAAGAGTACAAAAAATGTTCTGGACTTAGCCCAGCTCAAGCGGAATCGGCGTACCTGAGCAAAGCCAAATGGCTGGATATGTATGGCGTGGATATGCATACGGTTATGGGAAAGGACGCTTGCGAATATTCTCTCGGCTTGACGCCCACAGGGATTCTAGTTTTCGAGGGAAATCAGAAGATCGGACTATTTTTTTGGCCTAAAATTGGGCGGTTAGATTTTAAAAAGAAAAAATTGACTCTAGTCGTAGTGGAGGAGGACGACGAAGGCAGAGGGGAGCAGGAGCACACGTTTGTCTTTCGATTGTCTAACGAAAAGGCTTGCAAGCATTTGTGGAAGTGCGCAGTGGAGCATCATGCTTTCTTTAGATTGCGAGCGCCGGTTAAAGGTGCCAGTGGAAGGCAGAACTTGTTCCGCATGGGCTCCCGCTTCCGCTACAGTGGCAAGACTGAATTTCAAACGACGCAACTGAATCGTGCTCGTCGTACAGTGCAATTTGAACGAAGACCGAGTCAGCGTTACGCTCGTAGGCAGAGTCACGTTTTGAGAGACAGGCAGCGCCAAGTGCAGGATCAAGCACCTCAGCCGTCATCCAGTAAAAAGCAATTTTGTACACAATTTTCTATTTCTCTTTTCCTTGGCTTCGACCGACTGGGCTTAAAAATGAAAAATATCGATATACTTTATAGCGAGCAGCTTGCTTTGATTTAACTTTATTAAACATAATATTAATGCTTTAACGGCCGATAGCCTCTCAATGCATTGATGAAATAATGCTGAAGTAATGTCCGTAGCATGCATTACATAGCATATTGTTATTTACATCATTTTTAACCGGAGCCATGTAATATTACAATTGTCCTGCATTCGACGAGAGCTTGCTAATGCTTAATTTCACAGCCGAAGAGGAGCCAGCCGAGAGGGAACCGAGCAGATGTAGCAGTACAAAGTCTTCCTCGGATGCCAGTAGTATTCAAGGGACATCCTCGCCTCTGGTCGATTCGCTCCTCAAGTCTCTCGCTAAAGAGCAGCAACCACTCGAGCCAAGAAATCAAACCACTGCAGCGAGTAATCAAAAGGAGACAGAACCAACAAAGACTAGCCTAATTATCGAGAACGTATCGTGCCAGGTATCCACAGCTGTTCCAAACAATCAAGTTGTTGGTGCATCAGCACTACCGCCACGAACACCCATTCCTCCGGAGTCTTTGAAATGCAATATTCTGAAAGCAAAGGCTCTCGAGCAAGGAAAAAATTCGAATTTAGTCTCAATTTCAACGGCTGAGTGCAATAATCCAATGGCTGCCAGCGACAAAATACAACACAATACGACCGATGCAGCTACCATAGTCTCAGTGGTAAGTTCCAAGACCCATTCGCTTACGACACACAAATTTCGCAGTCATTGAAAATGTTAAGATTTTGTTTTGCAATCATAATTTGCATCGTTGCTTTGTGTGCTAGCTTCCCGGGCGACTTATACACCTTGAGCTCTTATCCTTAAAATACATGTGATTGTGTAACGCGTTAGCATGGACGGTTATTGTTGTGGAAAATTTGGCGTTTGAGCGGTAAATAAGTGTCGATCGACTTATCGAACAATATTGTATACAAAGTAAATACGATTTTAGAATGTCAAAGCCTCGCTTAACCTTTCTCATGAATAACAATGCGACTCGAGGTGTGCGACCCCCCCCCCCCCCCCCCCCCCCCCCCCCCGCCCCCCCCCCCCCCCCCCCCCCCCCATTTTCTTGCTTTTCTGCTTTATTGCTATTTAGGGTGGCGATAAACTGACTCTGTCTGTTAGTGGAACGTCAACGAGTCCCTCGCCGGTCGACGATGCCGTCACCGTCACGCATTTCTCTCTCGATAGCTGGGGCAAGATCCAACAGAAGACCACTCCATTCAGTCCAAAAGTGATTAATCGCTCGCAAAATCCCTTCAATCCATTTTTAAACAATACAAACGCAGACGATTCGATAAACGATAACGCGGAAGAAGTTGTTTATC